AAATTCCCATGCCCATGTCACTGGATGTATGATTTGCTTCCCATTTTCCTTACAAAACCCTTTACACTTACTGCAACAGGCAATGGCCATCATTCAGATGGTGGGTGTTGATAAAATGTGCAGCATCATGGCTGTTGACAATGAGGAGATTGCACTGGCAGCCTGCAACCTCTTCCAGTGCATCAATGATTCCCTCACTGGTGGAGATACACGAGAATATGGGAAAGAAGCAGACCTTGTTATGGGTATGAGAGAATAATTACAGTATGTGTAATAAGTATCGGTTAGATTTTCTACTTCTTTTTTCATCCTTACTCCTAAAAACACAGACTTCATTCTAAAAGGGCTCCTCTATTGGTGGTATTTTTCACTGTATTATTGACTGATGGACAATCTTTGATTTAATGTGTCTCCCCACAGATCCATCTAAAGACTTGAAAACTATTCTTCTTTCTCTGCTGGAGATGGTTGCCAGTAAAAAGGTGTCTGGCCATGGCAGAGACCAGGCATTAAACCTCCTGAGCAAGAATGTACCTCGCAAAGAGAAGAAGGAGATGGATCATTCCAAAAGCCTTTTCACTATTGACCATGGTGAGCCCAACACCTGATTCCCTAACAGATTCCCTAACACAGGCTTTTTGAGTGATACTAATCATTCAACATCTGTTTTTGTTTTTTATTTAGGTTTGAAAAAGATCCTCAAGGTTTGTGGCCAGGTTCCTGAGCTGCCAGACCAGTTGCCCTTGACAGAGAATACACAGCTGATTGCTAGCGTGCTCCTCAACAAGCTCTACGACGACCTTAAGTGTGACCCAGAGAGAAACAACTTCAGGGACATTTGTGACGAATATATCAAGTATGTCAGTGTTAATAAAGACACTATAAATGAGGACCAGCAAACATATCTTGTGTAATAATCAGATTTTTTTTCTTTTCTCTAATTCTCCATTCATTTTCTAAAGATCCAAAATAGACCCCAAAGACATGGACAAGACCATTCATGCCATCAACTGCATCTCAGGGCTGCTGCAGGGACCGTTCGATGTCGGTAATGCTTTAGTTGGTCGGCAAGGCATCATGGAGATGATGGTGGCACTGTGCGGCTCAGAACGCGAGGTGGACCAGATGGTTGCGGTGGAGGCCCTGATCCACGCCTCCTCAAAGATGAGCCGTGCCAGCTTCATTATTACGAATGGTGTCTCACTGCTCAAGGATATCTACAAGAAGACCAAGAATGAGAAAATTAAAATACGTGCGCTGGTGGTGAGAGTGCCAAAATGCAATAAAAGCTTACTTTATGTTTTTTTCTTTTGTCTCAGGGTCTGTCTGTCTTTATGCATACTCATGCGTCTGTCCTCTCCAGGGTCTCTGTAAACTCGGTTCAGCAGGAGGCGATGATTACAGTTTAAGGCAATTTGCTGAGGGCTCCACAGAGAAGCTGGCCAAGCAGTGCAGAAAGTGAGTATTCACAGAGACTCTGTACTAACTATATGCTAATGACAGTAATATTTTAAAAATACGATAAACTACCTTATAGGGCAAGGATGTTAGAGTCATTTTACAGCGTGGGCGAAATACAGCCCACTTTGACTCCCCTGCAAGTATAAAACATGAAGTTTTCATTAATTCAAAGAAAATGTCAGCTTTTGGGTTTTGTTTTGTTTTTAGACTGTGAACAATGTAAGAAGAAACACACAAACAAACAAACAACAAAAAGAAACATTTCTATAGTAGAAAGTGGAAAAAAATTTACTTTGTCATTTACTTGTTTTTGTATTACTTAATTACTTGAAAATACAATTAAAAGTCTGTGCACTCCTTCACATTTGCTAAAGCTGTCTAGTGGCCAGTCTTTGCTGGGCCGATTCTGGCCCTAATCCAAATGTTTGACACCCCTGCAGGCTTCATATTTGTCAGGTTGCAATCAATGATTCATGATCATTTTTGACTTTTCTAGGTGGCTCTGCAATCCCCAGATTGATACCAAAACCAGGAAATGGGCTATAGAGGGTCTTGCATATCTGACTAATGATGCTGATGTAAAAGATGACTTTGTGGATGATGAGCCTGCCATGCAAGCCATGTTTGAACTGGCTAAGGTACGGAAATAACAACCTGAGAAAAACTCAGAAAAGACTAAGAAGAGACCAATAACCGCTTCCTTTTCTCTGTGTTTTTAGTCCAGGGATAAGACGATCCTATATGCAGTTGCTTGCATCCTGGTTAACTGCACTAACTCCTATGAAAAGAAAGAAATTCTCCCTGAGCTGGTTCAGCTGGCCAAGTTTTCAAAACAGCATGTGCCTGAGCAACACCCCAAAGTAAGAGAAGAATGTAAAAGTCAGACCTAAACTGATGATTCAACAAACAGA